TTTCCATATTTCCAGTTGGCGTATGAGAGAATGAATACCAATTTTCTCGAAAGCCTTGACAAAATCAAGAGATATGATCGATATGTGTCTTCTTGCCGCAAGAGCGTTGGTTACTAGATGATCTACATAAAGTAGAGAATCCGCAACAGATTTGCCTCTCTTAAAGCCGAATTGATTATTATCAATGAGATTATTGGCAGTGACAAACCACCATAGCCTTTTAGCTATTATTTTGTCCAATAATTTAGCAAGACAGGGGTTGAGGGAGATTGGGCGGTATGAAGTGGTTTCGGATTTATTTTTATTGGGCTTAAGGATAGGTATAATGATGCTGTTTTTGTAGACTGGGATATGTGACTATTAATAATATCGTTAAAGAGGTTAAGAATACGAGTTTTAAAAGTGTAAGATGAGTTTTTAATCATCGAGTATGAGATTTAAAATTACGAAAGGATTCAGAAAAGTTGTTGTCTTCTGATTCTTTAGACCAGAATTCAGCAAAAGTATTGGCAATAGTACTAGGTTCGATGGATAATTCGTTAGTTATGGGATTAAGGATACCGTGTATGTGTTTAGATGGAAAGAGACCGCAAAGCCTTTTAATATTGGACCATATTTTCGAGGAGGAAAAGTTAGGATGAATTTCAGAAGAAAAATCTTGGATTGATTGTCTTTTTGCTCGCCTAAGTTCTCTTCTAAAAGTTGCATTTGCTTTTCTAAATTTTATTATGTTTTCGTTATTAATATGCCTTTTTAAAATACGCCAACTATGATTTTTATCGAATCTAAGTTTTGAGAGAACGTTATTCCACCATGGTACAGTTCGGGTTTTTGTAAATGTTGTGTTTTGGGGGATTGTAACATGTGCACTTTGAATAAAAGTTTTTTTAATGAGGGCTGTTTCTTTATTTGGGTTATTGCTGGTAGGAAATTTGAAACTTATATTGTTAATACTTTGTTCAAATGTGGTCCAGTTCGCAGATTTTAGGTTAAATGTAGGTTTAGCAGTAAAAGGAGTGTAAGGTTGACTGGTAAATAATGAAATTTTAATTGGAAAATGGTCGCTCCCATTAAGGTCGTTTAAGATTTCCCATTGGATGTTGTTAGCCAGACAGGCAGAACTAAGTGATAGGTCGATGTGTGTTAGAGTGTTATGAGTGGAGAAATGTGTCGGAGATTTGTCATTTAGTAGAATAAAGTCGGATTGGTCTATGAATTTGCTGAGCACTTTGCCTCTAACGTTGCTTTTAGGTGAACCCCAGCTTGGGTGCCAGCTGTAGAAGTCTCCCAGCACAATAGTTGGGCAAAATTGGGGACTAAGTACGTTTTCCAAACTTCTCTGGGAAAAGGATTTATAAGGTGATATGTATGCCGAAATTAAGTGTAATTTCTTTCTTTAGCAGGTATTGCCCGTCTTAACCAGGCTCAATATAATGTTTCCAACTGTATTTATTTTGTGTGTGCATAACCTACCCATATGTTTTCACCTTATAAGTTACCAGTAGGAAGGCATTTAAGGTATTTAAATGAACATTTTCTGTTCTTGACAAAAAATTGTTCAGTAGTCCGTTACATTATTGTTCTTGCCAAACTATTTCGTTATACGAACATGACTAATATTTTTTAAAGCTCGTTTTCCCCCCTTTGGAGCTAGAATTTTCCAAATGTTGCTTTGGCTATTTCAATCGTTTGCACGAACAGCTGCTTACATGTGTGTGTGTGTGTGTGTGTGTGTATGTATAATTAGTTGTCCCCAACTCTTTGATATTTTGTATTGTTTGTTCTGCCTGCTTTTGTAAAATACATATTTTAAAAATCCTCTTGTACATTTCATGTACAGAGTATATTAGGTTTGCGGGAGCTGAAAAATGTAACAGGCAGAAGGAGGCGTGGCAGACCCCACAAAGTATATATATTCTTGATCAGCATGACGAGACGAGTCGATCTAGCCCTGTCTGTCTGTCTGTCCGTCTGTCCGTCCGTATGAACACCTGGATCTCAGAGACTATAAGAGATAGAGACACCAAATTTTGCACGAAGATGCGTTATGTGTGTATTCTATACGAGTTTGTTTTATTTTTTTGATTTTCCCCCCCACTTCCCCCCTATGGGGGTTTTCCCGATTTTCCATTCGTATAATCGCCTATATCTCGGAGACTATAAGACCTAGGAACACCAAATTTTAGTCCCAGATGCCTTATGTGAATACGCAGAAAATGTATATTTTGGAATTCCCCTCCCTCCCCCCTCTACCCCGCAAATCGTAACTCCCGTAATTCTTGGAATTTCGAACTAAAATTTTGGAAATACCCCCAGTTAGTTATTATGTGTCCGTATGCCAAATTTCATTATGATAGACCGATTTAACAAGAAGTTATAGCCATAAATATATTTGCTGATGCAGCGCTGCTGCAGCGCTGCTCAAGCGCTGCCCGCGGCTGTTGTTGATGTTGCTGTTTGGTTGACTGCGAAAATGCTTACACAGACACGAATAGATGCGCATAGGCATACATACACTCACACAGACGCAATTGCTATGTAAATGTTCAATTATACACCCTTTACGTGAGTTCGAATACCGAGAGAGGTAAAATCGATCAAATTTTTTTTGTTTATTTTCTTAATTTTTTTTAATTTCTATATTTATTCTAAACATATGTACAGAGTATTTCAAAGTCGGGACACCCGACTTTAGCTTTTTTACTTGTTTTCTCTCCGTTTGCACGCCTCTTTATTTTTTCGCCGCCGGTATTATTTATCTAGATTTCAATAATTTTAAAGTATGTACACGTATGTATATAAAAAATTATCATTTGTGTAAGAAAACATAATTTCAAATTGTTAAATTTTACACTCTCGATGTCGTACGGGATCAACTTTATATTAGTTCCACGATCACAAATCTTATTTTTTTGCAAGTTTTTTATACCCTAGTATTAGTTTTGTGCGAGTGTACATGTAACACACAGAAGGAGGCGTGTCAGACCCCACAAAATATATATATTCTTGATCAGCATGACAAGCCGAGTCGATATAGCCATGTCCGTCTGTCCGTCTGTCTGTATGAACGCAAGGATCTCAGAAAGTATAAGAGCTAGAATAACCAAACTTGGTATCTAGATTCTCCTGAGCCCGAGAAAGGACGAGTTTGTTCATTTTTCCCGATGCACCCCCCACTCCCCCCTATTCAAGATTTTCTATAACTCCCGTAATTCTTGGAATTTTTAACTAAAATTTGGTGGACACATCCAGTTAGTGATTATATATATCTCTCTCTCGTATACCAAGTTTCATTATGATAGGTTGATCAGAAAGAAAGTTATAGCCATATAACCAGGCCCAATGCACACATACATACATATGTACAAGTACACAAACACGCATAGACACGATTCTGATGTAAATGTAAATGTATGTATGTATGTAAGGGTAAAAGGCTAAATATATATATATTATTGATCAGGATGAGAAGACGAGTCGATATAGCCATGTCCGTCTGTCTGTCCGTCTGTCCGTCTGTCTGTATGAGCGCAAGGATCTCAGTAAGTACAAGAGCTAGGATAACCAAAATCAAGGTTCCTATAAGCCCTAGGCAGATCGAGTTTGTTTATTTTTTCTGATACACCCCCCCCCCCCCCACTCCCCCGCAATTCGTGTTTTTTCTTATAACTTCCGTAATTCTCGGAACTTTTAAATCAATGTTGGTAGGTACATCCAGTTAGTACTAATGTATCCGTGTGCAAAATTTCCTCATGATAGGTCAATTCTGAAGAAAGTTGTTGAAAGAAGAAGAAGAAAGTCTGTTGTTGTTGCTGCTTTGGTTCAACTTTGTGCTGCATACATACACGCATATAAACACGCATAGGTACGTGATGTAAATGTATGCTGTTAAAACTGAACATAAACATGTATTCTAATTTAATTTAATTAATTAATTTTAATTAATTAATTCATTCCCTTTTCTTTAAATTTAATTTTTTTTAAATTTTTTTTTTTTTAATTTTTCCTTTTTGTGGAGAGTACTAGAGGCTATTTTACTGAGGCTATTTTACTGTCGGGCTTGCTCGACTGTAGCGTTCTATCTTGTTTATATTTAATTTTGTTAATTAATTAAATTAAATTAATTAAATAATTAAATTAAATTAATTAAATAATTAAATTAAATTAATTAAATAATTAAATTAAATTAATTAAATAATTTAATTAAATTAATTAAATAATTAAATTAAATTAATTAAATAATTAAATTAAATTAATTAAATAATTAAATTAAATTTATTTATTTTTTTGTGGGGTGGTACAGGGTATTTAAGAGTTGAGCCTGCTCGACTTTAGCGTTCCTTTCTTGTTAACATTTTATTGCATTGGAAATTTCAAATTTGCATTACCTTGAATTTCATTTTTCCATATTTTTCATGTGTTTTTTGCACTAATAATTTGATAGTACAAAATTAGCCAAAAATTCTTTGGTTATTATAAAAATGGTAGGGTTTTCCCATTTTTGTGATAACTCCCACTCCGCAACTATTAGTGAATTGGATAAATTACATCTGGCTTTTGCTTTTACTTGTATGTTCACATGTTGGATCATAATAAGTCTATTCTAAAGGATTTTGTTTTTGCACCTCTAGCTTAATTAATTATTGCACACATATTGCATACACATACTATATAGGCACATATAAATGTGAATTAATTGAACATACCATGCAAAAACTTCCTGTATTTATAACATAATACAGCAGTTGCGAAAATTCATGCATTTATCTAGGCAGATGAATAGACATGTCTTAATCAATTCGTCTCGTCATGCTTTTAAAAAATATTTATACTTGTAGGATCGCAGATGCTTTGTTATGCGTTTTGTATCCTTTGTCTTATATACTTATCATTCTATAGGTATATTTTACGTTTTACCGCTGTATTAAAAACCTACATGCATACCTGGTAAACCTCTTAAATGTACAAATTATTGATCATGTTCATAGTTCGACGTTTCTGTTTGAGTACAAGTATAGTATAGGGGGTAAAATAACCAACCCTTTGATTCTCTCTACTTACATTCTCTCACAGTTCAATGGACACCAGGAGCAAATGCAGCAAAGCAATGTGACAAGGATGGTAAGCGCCACAACTGTTGCAAGAAGCAGCAGCAGCCAAAACAATATTTTGCTCTCTGCATGATATTGTGTCTGCAAAAGAGTGAGATTTACTTCATACCTTAAAATACTGTGTGAAACGCTTACCTCAATTTGTAAAGTGTCTTGCGGTACAATCGCATACGAGTTATTATATTGTGAGAGACGCTGCTGTATTTGAGAAATGTCAACGACAGATGTTTTCTCGTACATTACAGTAGCAGTGACCAGGCTGCGCTCTCTGATGTCTGGATTATGGTTGGAAATGTCTTTTACTCCAGGCTCATTGGGTCGCATGGGATGAATATTATGGATGATGACTCTGCCACCAGTTATAGCCGAAAGTGTTTCCTCTGTTTTCTCCTTATTTATATTATGACCAGGTATCACAAAAGTTATAGTCCTTTCCAAGCGCTCCTGGGGATAGATATGAATTTTTGTTGTAGAAGATTGTACTGGTACGCCCAAATCATAAGCTCGCGCGGATAATATTATTGTATCGGTGTTCTCCGATGAGGAAGTCGCAGTGCTTTCATGTGTTTGCCTATTACGCTCCTCAATTCTTCGCAAATTAACTTTCTCCCGAAGAGTAAGCTCTCCTGTTACATTATCCAATGCGAACATGCTTTCGTAGTTTCCATTAATCAATTCGTAACGAACTTCATTGTTAGGAGCCGTTGCGTCCTTATCGGCAGCGTGAATGTAGGCAGTAGTTATGAATCCTTTATGGTCAGTAGCTAGTAAAAACTCATAGAGGTCATATTCAAATACAGGACTCTCATCATTTACGTCTATGATTTTTATTATAAGCGGTATCTGTGCGCGATTTCCTTCGCCACTCATATCGCGTGCCTCCACGTATAGGTGATACTCGGGCATGACCTCGCGATCAAAGCCGTGATTATTTGTTGAAACTGTTATTAATCCAGTTTCTGCATTTAAAGTCAGAGAAGTGTTTAGATATCCTAGTATACCTGTGTAGCGAATTTCGCCCCATTTTTCGGAATCCAAGTCATTAGCATGTACCAGAACTACTTTTGTCCCAAGAGTCATGTTCTCGGGAAGATGAGTTATATAGGCCTGTTCATCAAAAACTGGCGAATTGTCATTAACATCATTAATAAAGACGGTAACGTTAACGGTCGCTGAGAGGTTGGTAGTAGGACCCAGCTCTTGAGCGAATATTTTAAATTGGACTGAATGTGTTTTCTCGTAATCCAACATTACGTTGTCTCGCACCCGAATAAGAAACGATGCACTACGCTCAGCAACATTGGGTGCAATCTCGAAAGTTCCATTATTATTTAGTAAAGTCAATGAGAACACACCATTTTTCCCAGTATCATCGTCATAAGCTCGAGGCACATACGGATCAAGGAACGTTAAAGTGGTACCTTGTGGTGCATTTTCGTCTATTCGAGAAATGTAGCTACAGAAAAAATACAAGCAATTAGGATATAATAATGCTGCTCTTATATATAAGGAGACAGATAAAAACCAGCCCCAGTTATTCAACATAGATATAATACCTAGTAAACCAGTTTTTATTTCCAAAAAAATTATAGTATACACCATGTCGTTAGAAAATTATAAATATTGTAACTTTGTATACTTTATATAGTGAAAACAAGTAAAAAAGCTAAAGTCGGGTGTCCCGACTTTGAAATACTCTGTACATATGTTTACAATAATTATAGAAAATAAAAAAAATTAAGAAAATTAAAAAAAATATTGTTGTTCGCTTTTACCTCTTTTGGTATTCGAACTCACGTAAAGGGTGAATAATTGCACATTTACATAGCAATTGCGTCTGTGTGAGTGTATGTATGCCTATGCGCATCTATTCGTGTCTGTGTAAACATGTTAGCAGTCAACCAAACAGCAACATCAACAACAGCCGCGGGCAGCGCTTGAGCAGCGCTGCAGCAGCGCTGCAGCAGCAAATATATTTACGGCTATAACTTCTTGTTAAATTGGTCTATCATGACGAAACTTGGCTTACGGACACATAATTAATAACTGGGGGTATTTACAAAATTTTAGTTCGAAATTCCAAGAATTACGGGAGTTAGAAAAAATCGGAATTTGCATGGGAGAGGGGGGAGGGAGGGAAATTCCAGAATACACATTTTCTGCGTATTTTCATAAGGCATCTGGGACTAAAATTTGGTGTCCGTAGGTCTTATAGTCTCTTAGATATTGGCGGTTATACGAATGGAAAATCGGGAAAGCCCCCATAGGGGGGAAGTGGGGGGCAATCAAAAATATAAAACAAACTCGTATAGAATACACACATAAGGCATCTTTGTGCAAAATTTGGTGTCTCTATCTCTTATAGTCTCTGAGATCCAGGTGTTCATACGGACAGACAGACAAGAGGGCTAGATCGACTCGACTCGTTATGCTGATCAAGAATATATATACTTTGTGGGGTCTGCCACGCCTCCTTCTGCCTGTTACATTATTCAGCTCCCGCAAACCTAATATACTTCTGTACATTTCATGTACAGAGTATAAAAATGGTTGCCATAACTCCTTCGCGTTTTACTTGTATGTTTTGAAGGTAGTGTCTGCTTTTGGTAGCTACCTGGGTAAATAGAGTATATATCTCTATACTTGTATATATACAACAGTTGGTCCTGACTGACTGATTGACAATCAACGCACAGTCCAAACTGTAAGAGCAAAATTTGGTGTCTCTATCTCTTATAGTCTCTGAGATCCAGGTGTTCATACGGACAGACAGACAGGAGGGCTAGATCGACTCGTCTCGTTATGCTGATCAAGAATATATATACTTTGTGGGGTGTGCCACGCCTCCTTCTGCCTGGTACATTATTCAGCTCCCGAAAACCTAATATACTTCTGTACATTTAATGTACAGAGTATAAAAATGGTTGCCATAACTCCTTCGCGTTTTACTTGTATATTTTGAAGGTAGTGTCTGCTTTTGGTAGCTACCTGGGTAAACAGAGTATACATCTCTATACTTGTATATATACAACAGTTGGTCCTGACTGAGTGATTGACAATCAACGCACAGTCCAAACTGTAAGAGCAAGCAAGAGCTAGGAAGCTGAAATTTGGACACAAAATCCCACTCACAGTGAAAGTTAGCACTAAGAAGGGATTTTGAAAAATTCGAGCTCCAAGTGGTGGAAAACGGGCTCCAACGTTTGTATGAAAAATCTACAATTTTCATCCGATTTACTTCAAACATAGTTTGTATATTTTTATAAGATAAAGAATACAAGAAAAACTGTATACTAGGTTTTCCTGGGGCCAGAATTATAGGGGTTTTCCCGTGGAAAAATCGGAACACGAAAATCTATGTGCAATCAACGCACAGCCCAAACGGTAAGAGCTAGGAAGCTGAAATATGGACAAATGTTGTCTTTCATGGTGTAGGTGAGCAATAAAAAGCGAAAAGTCTGCAATTTTCATTTGATTGGCTTCAAACTGGGTTTGTGTAATCTATAAAAGAATAAAAACACTGCATACTTGATTTCTCACAATTTTTCCTCTGGCATGAAAAAATGGGGTTTTCCCGTTGAAAAATTGAAACACAATCAACACCCCACAAAACGGTAAGAGCTAGGAAGCTGAAATTTGAGCTCAAGTATTTTTTGTTTGTAAATTCGAGCTCCAAGTGGGGGAAAACGAACTCCAAAGTTTGTTTGAAAAATCCGCATTTTTCCACCAATCAACATCAAATTTGGTTTTCAAAATCTATTAAAGAATGCAAAAAAACTGTGTTGGAGCTTGAATTATTAGGGTTTTAATATATATTCACTTTTTCAAATGAAAAGTTTGTGTTATAAATTTTGTCCGATCGACTTCAAATTTGGGAAATGTAATCTACGTAACTAAATCTACAACTTTGCATTCAAAGATTTTCAAAATATGCATTTTACAAATGCAGGCAGAACAAACAATACAAAATATCAAACAGTTGGGGACAACTAAGTATACATACACACACACACACACATACAAGCAGCTGTTCGTGTAGTTGCGTGCAAACGATTGAAATAGCCAAAGCAAAATGTGAGACACTAATGTGTGAATGTATGAGTTAACAACGAAAATATTTAAAGTCTGCAAAAATGCAATCGTCTTCAAAACTGCAATTGCAATAAGATCCGGCAGGCAAGTGCAAGAGCCCCAATAGTGCTAACCTCAGCGTCTGGATAACTTCCCGCACGCGCAACCCAAAACCCCACTTCGCTGCAACAGCCGCTGCCGACGCCATCGCCGCTGCCAACGCCGCCGTCGACACACACAGCTCTCATTAGGGTTTCTTTAGCTTAGTTTGATTAGTCTTAAAATTGTAACCAACAAATAAAGTCCAAATTGGACAAATAAAAGTTTAAATTTTTTTTACAAAAATAATAAAAAGAAATTTAACTGGCGCCCGAGCAGGGACCAGTGGAATAAACGAGAAAGCAAAACCGTCTTTAAGTTTTCGGTTCGCGACGGGTTAAGTCCGACAGTTGCCAACCACCCACTGGCTTAGTGAAGTGTTGAATAGACTCCCTCGCGTTAATTCGTGCGGTCAATACTAAACTAACTGACAGGAACTTAATTGTTCCATCAGCGAATGCAGTAGATCTTAATTGATTACTCGCTCATCGGTGGACTACAGTTCTGTAAGATCCGCTCGCAGAACATCCTCAACGTGTACTGGTCGCAGGATCCCCAGTAGAGCAATCAAAAAGGATGAAATCCGGACAGTCGGGAGGAGTAGCCACATCAATCAACTTTATGTAAGATAGTGCTTAAGAATTACACGAAATATAAAAAAACTTTTAAATAAAATTACATACATTGAAATTGAGGAAAATTTTGAAACAACTACATTCGTAGAAACAAATTGAAAATAGTGCTTAAGATTTGAAAAAAGAAAAATAATATAAAGAAATCAAACAAAATTATACACATTGAAATTGAAAAAAAAAAAACACACAAATTGAAAATTAAAACAAAAATTTATTCAAGAATCGTCAAAGGCGAACAAATACCAAACCCATAAAACACTGTAGAACGATAACAGATTAAACTTAACTACTTTAAGAGTAGTATAACTGATTCCAATCTTGCGATTCCCAAGGGACCCTCCAAGATAGAAGGAAAAAACCAGCCACTGGTTTTAACAAAATTAATAGTATCTTTAAGTTTTCATATAAAACATAAAACAATCTCTTCAAGTTACCATAAAATATTTCTCGAACCATATTATCACCCTCTTGAGTTATCTATACTTGCACAAGTTCGTACCCCAATTTAAAAATTAATGGCCAACGAAAATAATTTACTACGACCTTCCATTTTGAACCAGGACAACGTAGGTATCGAACAACAAGCGCGACAAAGACAGGCTCAAAGATTATTGGAACAACAACAGAATAGAAGTATGGCGACTATAGAGCAGGTGACTGCATTAGTCAGTCAATTAATAGCAAAACAGGTTCCGCATATAGTGCAAGCTATAAACAACCCAGAGCAGGAGTTTAATAATGCAATAGATCAGGTTATAGACGAAGACCACCGTGGAAATTTGAGTGGACTTGATAGAATCCCCGATGTAGTCAAGTGTCTAAGCGAATTTTCCGGCAATCCAGCGGAGTTCAGCTCATGGAAAAAGACCGTTGACCGCCTTATGGATGCCTATGCAGGAGAAGCTGGAACACCAAGATATTTTGGAATACTCCATGTAGTCAGAAATAAGATCATAGGCAACGCTGACACAGCACTGGAATCATATAGCATTCCATTAAATTGGAAGGCAATATCAAAGTGTCTAACAATGCACTACGGGGACAAACGTGATCTTGGTACCCTCGAATACCAGATGACTATGTTTTCGCAAGGTAGTAACCAATCGGTTGAAGAATTCCACCAAATGGTATACCAACACCTGTCTCTCCTCTTGAATAAGGTGAATTGCATGGATTTGGGAGAAGAAGCTCACCGACTTCTAAAGAAGATGTACCGCGACAAGGCCCTTGATACGTTCGTATGTGGCTTACGCAGAGATCTTGCTCGTATTCTAGGTGCGCAAGCACCACCAGATCTTCCTTCGGCATTAAACATATGCTTAAAAATGGAAAATCAAAAATATCGATCCATGCATGCAATAACCTTAGGACAAACCAATAGCAGAAATGCGAATGGCAAACCACCACCAGCTTCGCGCAACATGAAATTTATTAACTCAGGTTTTCGACAGCCACCAAAGGTTCCCCCCAGAAATCGTCCGTTCCAATATCAACAAGCCCCACAGCAACAAAACTACACTAACAGCAACGACAATTCGCCGCACCGCGGCAATACGATCCCAATCAATATAGACAGCAACCGTTTACACCACCCAGGCCAACAGCGCCAAAACCGTTGCCAAAACCAGAACCCATGGACGTAGATCGGAGC